GTACAGCAGCTGGCCGAGGAGGCATTCCACGCCTATCCCGAGACAATATCCATTGTAAAAGCGTCTCCTCCTCAGTAATTGTCAATTTATGTCCGCTTGGACGTCTCTCGATCTGTGCAATCGTACCACGAAGTCGGTTTTGAAGGGTAGTAAAAGGGACATCATAAAGACGCGCTGCTTTGCGAATACTCAACGGATTCTCGCGATTTTTTATGGCGGAAATAGCCAATAGGATTCTACCTTCTTGCTGGGCCAAATTTTTTGAATTTTGACGCGCTTTTGGTGGCATAGTGGCGCGTTGAAATTGGTAGAGTTGTATAGTATTTGAAGGTGCGGGTGGGTGATCGGAGCGACCGGGTGATCGGAGCGGCCGGGAATTACGTTACCGTATGCCGATTGCATATTACGTAAGCGTAAAGCAGCACGTGATTATACTTGCCAAATGTCACCGCAGGGACATCCCGATAAGGACTAGCGCTAGGGCTGGGGTATCCCACACGCTCAACCCGCTAAGCGAAATTTACCGCTTGCCGGACATCTCGTCTCTCGACCTTGTCAGCCTCCTCTCAACGCGACACCTCGACAACTCCAGGGTTTGAGTCGACAAAGCCGTCAAGATGGCCCGTGGACCGTAAGTTATATTCGCTGTCCTATTTATTCTGTCCTCATTTCTGTTGAGCATTTCTGTTCAAATGCCATAGCTTTTTCGTGCCATCTGCATCTTGCAAAAATCAATTCGGGTTGAATCGAGATGACTGACTCCATTTTTTGATAATACAGGAAGAAGCACCAGAAGCGCTTGAGCGCTCCCTCGCACTGGCTCCTGGACAAGATGTCCGGAGCCTATGCGCCCCGCCCCTCCCCTGGTCCTCACAAGCTCAGGGACTGCCTGCCTCTGATCGTCTTCATCCGTAACCGGTTCGTTGACGCAGCGATTGATTGATGGATGTCGAGGCGACGAATACTGACCGTTTTCCCTCCGGGTTGTAGTCTCAAGTATGCCCTCAACAACCGCGAGACCAAGGCCGTCCTGATGCAGCGCCACGTCAAGGTTGACGGCAAGGTCCGCACCGACCCGACCTACCCTGCCGGTTTCATGGACGTCATCACCATCGAGAAGACCGGCGAGAACTTCCGTCTGATCTACGACACCAAGGGTCGCTTCGCTGTGCACCGCATCCAGGCCGAGGAGGCCGAATACAAGCTTGGCAAGGTCAAGCGTGTGCAGTTGGGCAAAGGCGGGATCCCATTCTTGGTTACGCACGATGCGAGAACGTGAGTGCAATGCTCTCTCCAAGTTCCGCGTCATTCAGTCGTTGGACCAAGCTTTGGTTGATCGGCGGAGGACGATTGGACATTTTTTCTTTCTTCTGTATCAGGGAGCATATTGTGCTGATATCGGGATTTCTTTTTTTAGCATCCGTTACCCTGACCCCGCGATCAAGGTCAACGACACCGTCAAGATTGACATTGCGACTGGCAAGATCACCGACTTCATCCGCTTCGACACTGGTGTGATCTGCATGGTCACTGGTGGTCGTAACATGGGTCGTGTTGGTGTCATCACCCACCGGGAGCGCCACGACGGAGGTTTCAACATTGTCCACATCAAGGACGCTGTTGACAACACCTTCGCTACTCGTGAGTCCAACGTCTTCGTCATTGGACGGGAGAAGCCCTGGGTTTCTCTGCCCAAGGGCAAGGGTGTCAAGGTGAGCAATCTCTCAATGATAAACTTACGATAAGGGTAGTGCTAACGGTTATTTTCTTCCAGCTCTCTATTGCCGAGGAGCGTGACCGCCGCCGTGCCTATGCTCTTGCTCAGGGCCACTAAGCGTGGTCTGGTAGGTACAGTAGCATAAGTACACTACAATAAAAAAAATCAAAAGAACTTTAAAAATCAAAATTACCCAAAAGAAAAAAGAGAGTCCTAAGAGACGGGACATTTCAAATTTCCTCCTCCCGTTCTGTCTCTTACGGACACGGACTACCTAGACAATTGTCGAGTGTCGATGCCACAATTTTTTTTCTGCTGACGAACAACGACGACGGCGACGACTTCTGATTTTTACTACTTGTACGTACGGGAAGGGGTTGGGTCTGTAAAAAGCAGGTAGCCAGTATACGTCTACATCTACTGCTACTGCTACTGCACCATGCATCCATGCAATTCAATTCAATATAGCAGCATATTGTTTGTTAGGGAAATTAATTGCTCTGGATGGAAAAAAATTGTTTTTCTCAGTCGCGTATTTTTCTTGAGTAGAAAGAAAAAGAAAGGCCTACAAAGTAAGGATTTCGGACGGAGGAGATTTTGTCTGTCCGTACTGTATGTACATGCGAAAGATGACAATTACATATTACATGGCAACTCAATTAGATTTATTTTAGCTCATGTTCTGGTGATAGAATTCAGTAGTACGGGGTATATGTATATATCTCTCCTTATCTAGGTAGACCTCTCTCTGCACCTTGCTATCCCTGCTATATATATAGCATCTTACGAAGTACTTTCACATCCATCTATTCCTCCTTTTTTTTGCCCCTTTTCCTTATTGATATACAATTATCTAGTTAGTTGTTTCGAATTAATCGATTAATCATAGTAGATACGTACAGTACATGTTACATGGTAGAATTAGAAATATTCTTTAAAAACAAGAGAATTAAAAAAAAAACTAAAAATAAATGGATTGGATTACCTGTTTGCCTGAAATATATATATATTCATAACGGAAAAATATTTATATATCAGTAACACCCACACGCATGGAAATGAATATCTAGACGGACATTACTACTACTATATGCAGATATTATGTGCAGTATTATAGGACAGTATATATTGCTAACTGACCAAGAAACGATATTGCATTATTTCAAAAATCGAACGAATGCTAGCCAGCTGTTTAGATCAAGTCCAGCTCAGTTCGGAATAACTAAAAAAGGCAAAAGCTATTAGGTATATCAATCAGATCAGATATAATATAATATATGTATGTATATATATGCATAGATGAATGTATGTATGTATGTATGTACATGATGCAACCTCCCCCCACCGACACACCACCACCAGCAGCAGTAGCAGCAAAAATTTTCCACGCAACGCCGTAAAAAAAAAGAACAGAGGGACGGAGGGACGGAAAATAAATAACAGAAACGACAACACAAAACAGACAAAAACAGACAGAAAAAGACAACAAACACAAACACAACACCACCTGTTTGCTACATGAATATGAGTGATAATGATGAGAATGTCGCAGACTCGCAGATCAACTGGATATGGGATATCGTATCATCACTAGAACGGGAAAAAAAGGAAATGGAAAAGGGAAAAAAGGGGGGAAAAAAAAGACGACAACGAGAGTGACGAAAAAAAAAACGACGGCTTAATAGCGACGGAGAGGTTCCTTTTACGACCCCTGAAACAGCTCGTTCAGCGCCTCTTCCCCGATTCTCTTGTACTCCTGAAGGTGCGGATAGAGGAATGGGATCCCTGGCGCCTCGCGCATCTGCTGTCGGTACGTGGCGTAGTTGTCGGACGTGTTGCACAGTTCGGCCACGTTGGGTGGCAGCAGAGGGGTCATGGTTATCCTCCCTAGAGTGGGATCGACGTTGGTTGTCCACAGACATCCAACGCTGTACGCCTGGAGGCCGTTGATCATCGCTGTCGTGGAGTGGTAGTTTCTCATACCGTGCAGTGTCTATGTTTGCAGGCGTTAGATCAAGTCACATCATATTGTTTGCTATCAAATCGCAAACGAGGAAATGGAATAGTCTTGATGGCCTGAGAACCCACCTCAATACACTCGCGGATGTACCCCACAAGCTCGGGCAGCGCAGTGCAGCACTCCCACACCGCGCAACTGAGCTTATGCCATTTGTTGTGGAGAGCGTCCACGGTGGGCTCGTTCTCCACGGTGATCTGCGACCGCGACAGTCGCGCAAAGTCGGATTCATCGCTCCTGTGCAAGGTGTGGGCCAGATCCGCCGGGGAAATCGACGCCAGCAGGTCGTCCAGAAACGGGACGCTCGTCTCGAACTTGTGGTTCCAGTCCATCGTCGGGACGTGCACGTACGTCTGGCGGAACCGGACCGCCAGCACAGAAAGCACTTTCAGAACAGAGGTCAGTCCGGTTGGATGGCCTCGGAACAGCTCCTGGATCGGACCGGCGATGAATTCAAACCCTGGGCCCGTATGTCGAGGCAGGTCGTCAGCCTCCCCGTTTTGGTATCTGGTCAGACACTGCACCAGGGCTCGATGGGTGAAGGGACTCCGGGTCCGAAGATGCTGGTATCAAAGAGTCAGCAGAGAGGATGATGCGTGCTGGTAGGGGACGAACCTTCTCAACCTCCCTGTACTTGTCAACCTCGTTCGGATACATCTCCAGGTAGTGGCACAGATGGATGTAGAAGGCATTGTGCTGCAGAAGAAACCAGTCCACGGCAGGAGCCGGATAACCCAGGGCGCAGCGCACCCACTCCTCGAAGGGAACCGTTTTGAATTGCAAGTGACTCTCCGCATCGATCCTCACGGCAATGGCCAGCGGATCGGTCTCCTGGCGAGCCTGCGCTGGAAACCAACTCCATGAGACGCTGGACGGCGTCGACGACTGGGATCGTCGAAGGATCTCCTCCACCTTCTGCACATGGGAGAAATTGGGCAGGAAGGTGAGCTCGTACGGCTGCAGGAAGGTGGACAGGAAGCCGTCGATGGTGCTGGCGTTGCGGCTCTGGAGGACGGTCCGGGGCAGGTTGCTGTCGCTGAACAGACCAAACTGGATGACCAGGCTGATCTCCCGGATATCAAAGGTCCACAGGACGGTCGTGGCCTCGTCCTCCCACCACCGGTACGGAACGAAGAAGCGAGGGACCTCGTCGGCGGCGCGAAAGAGGAGCGGATAGGTCACGGCACCTTGAGCCATGCTGGGCAGGCCATCAGCCTGGAGCAGGTTGTCAGAGGAGGGATACGCGGGCACCTCGGTCGAAGCACTGGTGACCTGGGCAAGCGAACCGGCGCCCTGAAGCTCGCCAGGGAACGAGGACGAGGAGAAGGACGACTCGGTGGTGGACAGCGAGGCGGTCGTGGGCGGCCGGCCAGCCCAAGTCTCGAAATCCGGGGCAGACATGGAGGGCAGCCAATCAATCCCCCGAGACAGTCATCCACAACATAGCAGAGACGCGATCCTGGAGTCTGGACAGGGCATGCAGGCGGACAGGCAGGCGGCAGGGCGTCAGCAGGCCGTCCAGTCCATTTGCTGCACGCAAGATCAAACGTGCTCTCCAGCGGCGATCGCGACAAACAGGAGGCGGTCCACAGGCCAAGAGGCAAACAGGGCAGAGGAGCAGGGCCTATGATATTATTCAGTCAGACAGTTCAGGACAGCGCTGGGCCTGCGGCTGATGGCCTTGCCACCGCGGGAGAGATCCACGAGAGGGCAGGGCGAGAGGGGTCTTCTTCTTGCCGCGCATCGCTCCGGGCCGCTTTAATTGCTCATCCACTCACGGCCTGACAGGGCGAGCTTATTACGAGCCCACGGCCCTTAATTCGGGCTCCTGGCATGCCCAAGGGACGCCAGAGTGGCGCTCGACGACGCCAGCGATCCAGTTCCGCAGCGCTGGGTCTCGGAGTCTCCCATGAGCCGGGTTCGCCTGTGCTAAGCGCGATCGTGCCAGTCCACACGCCCTCGCCTGCTGCCAGGCCGCTGCACCGAGTCATCTGGCCTGCCTGCCAGTGCCAGTCGTCCGTGATCGCTCGTCCGTCAGCATTCGCCTGCCATCCGCCCTGCTCAGCCGTCGCTGTCGTGTCGTTGCTCGTGATTTGGTTTGCTTGGCGCCGCCTGTGGGAGAGTGGAGGCGACTAGACGGAGCGCGAGGCCGTCTCCACCACCGCTAATCGTCGCTGCGAAGGGGCAGAGGCTACCGAGTAGAACACCATCGAAGCGCCGTCCTGCTCCGTGGCCAGAGGGCATCGAGGAATGCAAGAGGCGGTCAACATACGGACGACGCGCGCTGCGTAGCCGATCACCGCCCGCGCTGGCTGCCGCTGGTGACGATAAACGGCGATGGATGGGGGAGTCGCGTATGGTCACAAGGTGAAACAATGCTAATGATCACTGTGATCGTTAGCATCAGGTATCGTGGCAGCCCGGTGGGTGTTCTCAGGGCCGATCTCTTGTTGCTTTTTCTGCTGTTTCCCCCCCCAGGGTGTGCGCCGCAGCGCATGGACGGAACGATTTATTCCCCAGCATTTCGGCAACGGTGCTGCAGTGGCAGTCTCCTTATTTCTTCTAGATCACCATCGAAGTATTATTCACCAGACGATGGCGGGTGATCAGGCAGCATGGCGATCTCCAGCAGGGGAGTGTGGTCAACAACTCCCGAGAAGGGGAATGGTTTCCTCAGACCGTCGAAGTCTACAGAGTCCAAGAGTCCGTCAGCCGGAGGGATCTCCAAGGAGCCCGTTCTCCATGTGCGCAACTCTCCGACCCTTCTCGTGCAGCTGATCACAAATGCGTTATCGATCACATCCACCCCACGCTACTCTGGCGCCATCAGATTCGATTCCTCTTGGCCTTTTCTTGGATAGGATGATGTGACAGGTATGCCGGGTTACACCGCACGGAACCGCTAGCGATTAAGTTGTTCCATTACTTCATCCCACCGTGGCCACGCTGGCCATTGAGTTTGAACGCCGCCCACGGAGATGCGGACTGCCGGCAAGGCCGGCAAGAGTCAGCAGTCAGCACGCATAGCTACGGTGCGGAGGAAACAGCCCTTGGGGTCGAGGGTGGATCCTCATCTTGCATCGCGCCGTCCGCTCAGGCGCCTTGCGTCTGCATAATCAATGCTAACTAGCCCGAGAAGATCCCGAGAGAGAGGAAGACGGAGGACTAACTAGCGAGAGGAAATTTTCCGAGTCAGCATGTCCACAGAAGAGTCCGTAGTCCGTACGGAGGACAGGGCACTGTACGGACGTTACATATACGGAGTATGTATCACCACCACTACCAGAGTCAACCTGCCACTCTGTCTAGTCAACGACAGGAGAAATAAAAAGTCGAGAGTATTTACGGCCGTATGCAGTTGGAACGGCAATGCATGCCTGCAGCAGCTAGCAGAACGTGATACCTACTTGTAATTGTCCGGTACAGATACAGATACGGAGTAGTCGTTTCATTTGGCAGACAAGCAAGGCAAAGCAAGGCAAGGCGAGACTAGAGTGATTATTGTTTTTTTTTTGCTATTATTTATCATTTGCTTTTTCGCTTTCTCGTATGGGAGGACTCCCCCTTTTAATAACACCCTTCCCAGAAATCTGAATAAAAAGTCTGACTAAGGCAAGTCTTTAGACCATGCCGATCGTCTAATCGCTCCAAAAATAAAAATAAAAATAAAAGAAAATCTAACTCCAAGAAAACAAGGAAATGCCGCCAGTAGTACGCCGTACGCCGTACTCCGTATTTGGTATTCTGTAGTGATCACTTTAAGGGATCGTCTACCCCAGCCCGCGTTGCGTTGCGTTGCGTTGCGTTTCATTGCGTCGTGTCGCGTCGTTCGCTCGCTTGCTCGCTCGCTTCAATCCTTGGCTTATTGCAGCGGCTTGGTTTGGCTTAGTTTGGCTTGGTCTGGTCTGGTCTGGTGTGGTCTGGTTCGCTAAGCTTCGCTTTACTCTTACTCCGTACCGTACTCCCTTCTCCGAGTCGGAGTTCCGTCCGTACTATGGGGTGGAACCGTCGAACCATGGAACCATGGAACCTCTACGGGTAGATAGATACCTAGATAGATAGAGTATAGGTTACTATGAATATATACCTACTACGTACCTTTTCTGAGGAAATGATTGATTGATCCAGATCATCCATTGCCCCGGACAGAGTATGAATAGAGGCGGACCTAAACTTCGGAAAACTACGGACGGACCGTACGGACGGAAACATCCTTCTTGGAGTTGGACCATGGATCACTGAATCAGCTAGAGCAGAGTACGGAGTAAGGTACTGTACTTACTCCTGTTAATTATCCCTCTCCAAGCTGATTCTGTACTGTGCTGTACAAATGGGAATTACTATAGAATAGAAATAGAAAATAGCACTCTGCAGTCAGCAGCATATGTACTCCGTACTTCCTACGGAGTACTCTGTACAGGCATTATTGAATTGAATAGAATTCCCTATTCCGGATACGCTGAAAAATATCATTAAATATATTAATCAATCAATGCTAATAATGCCATGCCAAAAATTTGTCAGTCAAACGGCCCCTCGACGGAAGTGGGTCATTTCATGGTCTAATCTAAGCCAGGATCAAGCCGAAACAAAACCGAAACAATCCTCGCTAATTCCCAATCTCTATTAGCCTAGTCCGTAGCGTAGTCTGTCGACTATATTCCTCCAGACTCTTGGAGATGGATGGGCTGTTTCATATTAGTACTGCAGACGCGGGAGACGTTGCGGCCTAACGACTGTACGGAGTAGGTACTCCGTACTCTGTACGGTGGAATAGGTAGGTATCTACCTACCTACCTACCTACCTAGGTATGTACTGGATTCCTGGCCTAGGAACAGGCTTAGCGTTCCCTGTCACACCATAGCTTAGGTACTACTTCGTACTGTACCTACGTAAGGAGACAATAATAATCAAGTAGGATCAATTCGGTTGGTTACTGAGCGAAAGTCCAGCCGAAGGGCGGCGTGCACAGTCAGCATTAGTATCTACTCTCTAGCCCGTCTTAGCATGGTCCCAGGTACCTCTGCCAAGGATCCGCCAAGCGAGCTAGCGCATTCCAAGTATTTGGTCGTCGGGAATTATTGGGAGGGCAATGATTGCCGTGCTGGCAGTGGCAGTGGCAGGGGCCAGAGGTCGCAGGCCCGCAGGGCTCTCGACTCCTCAATTTAGTACTCCGTACAGGTATCCATGATGGATGGATGTTGATCTGGACTGTGTCCCTCAGACTCCCTTTCAGAGGTATAGAATAAAGAGTAAGACATTTTCTGAGTCCTCTGAGGCAGGCACCGGTGTGATCTTCAACTTTTAAGCCCCCTGCGACTAAGATGCGCCAGGTGTAGCCACAGCCAGTGCTTATATAAGCCACAGCACACTGGATGTCTGCTTCATTTTTTTTCTTACATAATTAAATAAATAGTTACCGGCGAGCCAACGAGACCACACAATTAACTCACGGTTTAAGCTCTGTATCCTGGTTTTTTTTTATGCGAGATAAGCTTTCTCTGCATCACCTCCAGAGAGTCAGACGCTGGAGCGGATGCATCGTGTTTGTCTGTCACCGCATATAGTGACGTGTTCGCAGTGGCTGTTGACTAGGTAGTAGAAGTATTTGCTTCTAGTAAGTTTCTACTAGAGTAGTAATTCGTACTCCGTACGGAGTATTCCGGCTCTTATCTTCGGGATCTTATCAGAATGCCGACTTGGGTCTTAACGACCACTGGGCTAGCTATATCCTAGTATCAGTAATCTCTGGTGGCCATGACTGTCATACAGTAGCAGTACTCTACAGAGCACTGCACCTGCTCGTGGAATGCACTTCGGTCCGAACTCAGTCGGATGGATGGAACTGCTAATAGTCCTAGGGCCCTAACCTGGGCAGCAAGCACGGAGTAAGTACCTAGGTAAGTATTACTCTGTCGTCTCTATTAATTAGCGCTGTGCAGATTGCGTATTCCGTAATAGTGCCTTCTGGGAAATTGGCCCACCTGTCTAGCTGTCCTCAAGTTCCAACCTTCGACTGGACGGAGAATTTTTTTTAAAAAATTGCCGGAAGATTAACAATTGTATGCAAGCAGGTTGATTAATTAGGTAGGTAGCTACTGTAATGTAAACTACTGCATGAGGTCAGACTCAGCTTATGTCCTTTACCTCGGCATCTCTTTAGTCTTTACAGACTGCAGTACAGTGCACAGTGGGATGAAGGATGAAGGATCGCTGGATCTTTTCCCTGCAAGGTTCCAAGCGCCGACCTCTTGCGGCAACGCTAACTGGTTGGTCCGACTAGAGACCTGCCAAGCGACACCGGTTTGTGCAATCACCTCATGCTGTTACTATTCGATCATTGTGACGATAGCCCCAAAGTTGGGAGGCTTGAATCGCTGGCCATTGATATACTCCGGAGTATATATCCAGGCTTTTAGTTTTGCTGTGATTTATTAATTGTTTTGTGACGATGTCGGATGATGGATTGTTGTCTCATACTCGCTTGTGTGTTTCCTGCAGATTCCTGCAGCTTAGCTGCGAACTTGAGGGAGCTGCCTACCTAGGTAAGGACGGACAGTTCGAGCGCTCGAGATAGGGTGCCTCTTCTAGCGTACGCTACGGAGGGTTCTGTCAATTGTATTCTGGTGTACAGAGGATTACAATGAGAGCCTATCCTGTCCTGATACCCAGCTGCTGCCCACTCAATTTCATTGAACTCTTTCGTGAGTCAATACTGCCATACACAAGTCCTCTCCCTGTCTGAAAGCATCCCTACCACAAGCTATAACAAGCTATATGGCAGACCAGAACAGGACTACTCCGTAAGTATTATTTCTCAATATCGTGAACGCCTTCAGAGCATTGCCAATTCCTTTCCATCTCATCTGATCTTGTTTTCACTCCGTCTTCTCGTTCTTCGGTGCCTTCGCATAGCCAAACACCCCCAACAGATACGCAACGCGATTCGCAAACAGAAACGCAGACGCCCCGATATTCCCCCAGGTCACTGCACCCCACGACCCGACCTCGACAAAGGCATCCCACCCCATCGCCACATACGTCGCGTAGATGTGACCCAGGTCCGCAATGGCCAGCGCAATCAGGTAGTTCCGCAGCACACGAGGCTCCGACGTGCTGTACATGATGCCTACCCCCACGAACATCAGGAGCAGGTAGATATTGCCCAGCTGGTACGCCACAGCGACGGTGCTGGGATGGAAAGGCGTTGGGGGAGGCGGCACCGTGGGCGTCTGGCCCGAGAGGAAATACTCCAGGTCAAAGACCACGCCCGCAAAGCCGGCGATCCTGCAGGCAGATGCCATCGCATCGCGTTGCCGTCAGTAGAGGTCTTGTCTGGTCGTAATGTGGTTTGGATAACGGCCATGATGAAAGGGGATAACAGAACAAAATCAAGGAGTTTGAAGACACTGGAGACAGAACACGGCTGGCCCCTCGAAGATACTCACAAGGAGATCGGCTCCAGGACCGCAAAAAGAATGTGAGGCCACGTCGGAAAGATAGTAGACATGGCTCCGATTGTTCGATTCAGTGCAATTGATTGATCGGACTCGGACAGAAGAGTTCAAGATAGTTGCACAGATCAATGCGTAAGATCTAGTGCGAAGATGCGAAGTAAGGAATTCCTAGAACGTAGATCTGAATAGGCGAACAGCTCAGTTGGATGTATTTATGGATTCAGTGTTAAGAGATTGTTGGATTCATCGCAGGTGAGGAGCTTCTTATAAAGCGGTTTCAGGCATGTTGTACAGAATACGGAAACGTACTGTGCTGTTGCAGCAAACTGCCACTGTGTCCAGGGAATTGGTATGACTGAGAATCAGTGTCTCCTTTCTCTTCAAACTGAGCGAAGGACGCTACACAAAGCCTTGTATCGCCTGAGAATGCAACAAGTGGATGAAGCCTCTGAGCTGCGGAGATGGTTGTCTCGCGGGCCGTACAGATGCGTTTCGTGACACTTGCCGCGTCGACAACTCCCTAGCCTCTCAACTCCAAGAGCCAGCCAACCCCTCTGTGAACTCGAAATCATGATAACTATAAACCGTCGAGGCAGACAACCCTGGCTTGGTCGAGACTCATTCCCATCCATTTACCGTGTCTCGCGTCCCTGTGAACCACCGCTCCCGATGTGATCCTCTCTCGTCGAGGGATCCTCGACGTCTCCATCCACGCGACGACGATCATGATGAAATCCGGAGGCACCGCTGCTTCGTCCCCCGGGGACGACACGTCCTTACCCCAGTTCCGTGATATTCACCCTCAGCTTCCCAGCCTCCGTATCGCTCCTCTCCGCCCGCCGGCTCCCTCCCGTATCTTGAAGGCACCCCTGCCGCTCGAACCTACCGCCAGTGCTGTTCATGACAAGACCAAAATCCCCCCGACCAGCAGCACGACGACGACGACGACGACGACGACGACCGCTGTGTCCGGCGGAACAACTCTCCCTGCGAAACTGCCAACCCTGGAGGAGTTTCTGAACGCTGCTCGCACCACCCACTCCGTCGTGGGCTCCTCAGTCGATTCGGTGTCCAGTCTAGAACCTCCGCCAAAGACCATCCTTCCGGCCTTCGTCAATCTTCGTGCCTTGGAGAAACTGCCGTACTCCTCCTTTGAGGAGAATGCTCCGCACAAGCGTCGTCGCCTGGACGTTTCTGGAGACCACTTTTCCGGCGAGCCTCTCCAATTGCCGGTTCCCCATGCTCAGAGCGAAAAGAAGCCCCCGCCGCCGTTTGGGCCCTTTGCCATCTTGAACGGCCTTAATGAACCGCCGCCGAATGCGGCCCTCTTTCCTCCCATTGAGCCAGGCTCGCTTCCGCCGATCTTGACCAGGCCTACAAAAGATGTGTCCGTGGGCGGGCCGGACGCTATACAGTCTGACAGACACTCGGCAAAGGAGTCGGTCGACAAGCGGGAGGGACGGCTGGAGGAGATTCTCGATTCGAAGAGTCAAGAGAAAGCGGGACAGGCGAGTGAGGTAGCGACAGCAGCAGGCGATGACAAGAAAGGCCATACAGGCGGCAAAGACGGTACAGCCGGGACTTCGGAGACGTCCCAGAAGCCAGTGGAAGACAGTGATGAACCAATGTCGCCCAAGACACGAGGCCGCTCCCGCAAGAAGCTGAGGAAATGGACCGAACAGGAGACTCACGATCTCCTGAGAGGGGTGGTGAAATGTGGCATCGGCAACTGGACTGCTATCCTCGCGCAGCCCGAATTGAAGTTCAACAAGCGAACGGCTGCCAACTTGAAAGACAGGTATGTAGATCAGAACCATCACCAGGCTTCATTGCTGATCGGCTTTAGGTTCCGTGTCTGCTGTCCATGGGCATATGGGTAAGTCTTGAAGTGGATTTGGGTGTTGTTCACCACTGACGGGAGACAGCGCTGCCGATCCCAATGAAGCCACCAGACAAATACAGACAACTCTTGCGAATGCACTGATGAATGCCGAGTCGAGGGACTCTGGCGCCGGGGGGAAGATTCTGCTACCAGATCCCCGACCGAACAAGCCGGGGGCAGAGTCTGGATCAACTGCGAGCGACGCAGCTGAACCCTCGTCAGGATCTGACGCAACAGGGTCTCAGACTCGTAGTACTAAATCCTTATCCTCATTGAAGACAGCTCCTACACTCTCGAACAAGTCCAAATCCACCCTGGTGTCCTTGGGCATACCGGAGCCGTACTTCACCATCAAGTCCAAACGGCGGTCTCGGCGGCCCTTCACGCCGGCGGAAGATGAGGCATTGCTGAAGGGCTACGCCGTGCACGGCTTCCAGTGGACTATGATACAGCAAGACAAACACCTGAACTTGTCTCATCGCAGAGCGACAGATCTGAGGGATCGTTTTCGAACGAAATTTCCCCACGCGTATCGCGAAGGCGGGTCTGTCAGCGGGAAAACCATTGGGACTCAACTGAACACGCCTGCAGATAGAAACCGAAACCTGGGCTCTGGCTCGCTTCAGGCGAACGAGCATCTTCTCAAGCATCCCATCCTGCCGGATCCAAAGATCAACACTCCTACGAAAAAGAATAGCCATGACATTCCTACAGCAGCAGCAGCAGCAACTACAACGCTGGGACCTGGACCTGGACCCGGACCCATTGATGCTACCATGCTTCCTCCAGCACCAGCACCACAACCACCACCACCTCCTCCTCCTCCAGCACCAGGTCTCCTCGACATGTCATCCGGTCCGGGCAGCAGCTCAGGAGGGGTATTTCCATTCTCATTAGAGGAGAGCACCACCGCTACTACGACTGCCGGCAACTCCTCCTCCTCCTCTTCTTTATCTTCATCTTCATGGGAAGATAACACCTTACCACCTCTAGTATGGGACGAACTGGGTTGAGCGAGCGATTGAGCGACTTGTTACATTATAATTGCATTTTTTTTCAATTCATCCAGGGTTGTATTTTTCTGTTTAACAGTAACTGGGGTGGTAGTTTATGCTTTTCCTTTATTTTTTTTACCTTTTTCGGAGTTTTTTTTTTATGGTTTCGGTTTTGGTTTCTAATATATACCCCTTATCGTGTGCGTGCATCAGACGGAAGAATCGTCTATCATCTTTTATTAATTATTCAATCATGTCGGTTTTCCTCTACATAACTCTCAATTTGCAATTTCTTTTTTTCCTTTTTTTTTCTTTCCTCTTTTTCATCGTCATTGCCTCTCTTCAAGGGACTAGGTACCAACTACCTACTACGACTACTACAACTACCAGGGGTAATGTAATGTAGTTAGACTGCCCTGCTAGGCCTTGAGAAAAATACAACCAACCGATCCGATCCGATACAATCTGATTCGATCCAGTCTTTTACTTTTCATTTCTCATTTTTCATGTTTTGTTCTTATGTATAGATACATTTCCATAATTTTGGTAGTAGTCGTCAAACAGTCATCACAGTCACAGTCACAGTCACAGAGTCATAAGAGAGGAGAAGAGAAGAGAGGAGAGAAGGAGAGTAGGGAATAATGAATCCTATCCTATCCTGACTCTGCTTTTGCTTTTCATAATCCTTTTTTAAATTAATCCCGAGAGACGAGAAGAGAAAGAAAAGGGACTGACTGACTAACTGACTGAACTAATAATTAAATTCAAGAGAACAGGACAGGACAGGACAGGACAGAACAAAACCGAAATTAAATTGGAATTTTGTAGACCTTGTAGACCTGGTCTGGTCGTGGAGTATAGTATAGACTAGAATAGTCTAGAATAGTAGAGTATCATCAAGTCATCACCAATCAATCGATCAAGCAGTCAATCAGTCAATCAATCGAGAGCAAAATGGAAAAAAAAAACCGAAAAGAAACAAGGTTGGCGCTTTCGCTCAGGATGTATTCAGGATGTATGCATATGCATATCGTTAGAGTTGATAGAAGATCATAGCTTAATAATTATTCTTAAGAGGACAAGACAAGGAAGATTGCGTGAATTGCATTTGCGTGCCGAGATGATGATGACAAAAGAACGCCTAACCGTTTCGACAGAAAATAGGAATAGAAATAGAGAGATGACAATGAAACAAACAAACTGATATGTCCAGTGAATAAAGACGAATAACGGGTTGTCTTGTTTCCTCTCCTCTCCTCTAGTATCATTTCATATCGATCGAGAATGAATGGAGGAAGAGCTAGAGGAATGGATAGATTACCACGCATTGCGGTCCCAGTTTGGATCTGCGAAAAAGCAACGTGTTAGCCATGTGGGCAACATCCCCTCTAGATCCAGCCACTCACCTTGAATAAAACTAGCCAGCACCTTACTCCCCGTCTGCAGCAGCGGATGACCCGCCACAATCTGCAGGAACCGCTGCAGCCCTTCCCGGCGGTGCTCAATCACGTCGTCGCTGAACCGGTTGGTGAACACCTTGCCCGGCAGCGGCGGGATGGTGACGCGCGAGCTCTCGCGCTCGAGGATGTCCCGGAAGTGCTCGAAATCCGAGTAGCGGCGGCGCACGACCGAGTGCTTCAGCTTGAAGGCGGGGATGTTGGTGCGGCAGACGATCTCGTACGAGGTGTACATGTTGCGCGATGTCCCGTGTGTTTGGGGTTGCGGACCTGTTGCACATGAACAAAAAATGGTTAGTAAGATGGATGTAAGTTTGATGAAATTGGTTCTTGTGCAAGTGTTGCAATGGTGGCGGTTGTTGCGAGCGGGGTTTCATTTATGGTGTCGTTCAACTCACTTCAATCTCGAGAAAGTTCTCCGGCGGACCGTAGATCTCTTCAAAGGTCTGCTGACGCGCGTCCGGGACGGACTGCATCTTGGAAAAAGATTAATTGATGATGTCTCTTTCAGTCGAGTGCTGGTATGTATATCTATCTATCGCCTATCGGAATTGGAAAAGCGGGGAAGACTAGGCTTCTAGGCCACACTGGACGAACTGCTTGGACGGGAATTCACGGCTGTTTGGCTGTTTTCGACAAAGCTTCGCCAGGAGTGATGAGTGCTGTGCTTGACGGCGTGCGCGAATTCGAAATCTCTGGTGATACGTAACGTAGGAGGAGGTAATGTACCCTGTTATCTCAATGGCATGCCTTGTGTCTCGGCGGTTCCCATGGCGGGGGCCGTTCTGCAGCCCCATGCCGCCGGCAAAGCGTTGCTCCGGTTCCGATGCGACATCTGCAGGCAGACATGATTTCTCTAGACTAGAAAGTTCACTCGAAACACTGCCAATTGATCTCTGAGAAGGTTCATATGTATATATTTACGAGCGAATATCCACTGAAACAAGAATATCCGTTTATTCCGAAGTATATCTCACATTACAATATGTATTCAAGAAATATGAACAACCTAACTAAACTATCCCGCTAAAAATGAAGGTGTGGTATCAAGAAAACGTCTCTTCATGAGTCCAACATTCACACTCTGTCGCATGTCTCATCTAATCCTTGAGTTAGCAAAGCAAGACAAAGTCAGGCAGAGGCATTCTTACGTTTAGAGGTTGTTGCCGAGGGTGGCCACAACGTTACCAACAGGGACGCCAACGCCCGGCAGACCAAGACCAGAGACAAGACCAGCAATGTCAGGCGACAGCTGGATCAGAAGGACCTTGCCGTCGTCACCCACGACAGTCAACAGACCCTCGGTCTGAGGGCCCAGGTCCTTAACCAAGTCGCCAACCGAACTGGCGCTGGCGACGACAGACCCAGCAGGAACGCCCACAGCGGGCAGAGCAAGACCGCTGAGAAGTTCAGTCACCTCCGGGTTCAGCTGGATCAGAAGCTTCTTGGCATCCGGGCCAGTCACGGTCAGAACACCGTTGACCTGCTTTCCCACGTCGTTGAGGAGCTGTCTGGTAGCCTGGCGCTTGACGTGAGCACCAAGGGTGCCGACAACCTCGCCGACGGGAACGCCAACGCTAGGGAGACCAAGGCCGGAAACCAGGGCAGCGACGTTAGGAGCGAGCTGGATGAGGAGGGCGGAGCCATCTTGGCCAGTGACCGTCAGAAGACCCTGTGTCTTGGGGCCCAGGTCTTTGAGCAGGTCACCGACAGAGCTGGCAGTGGCAACGACAGAGCCGACAGGGGTGCCCACACTCGGGAGACCAAGGCCGCTCAGAAGGGCAGCAACCTCAGGGCTGAGCTGGATCAGGAGCTGCTTGGAGTCCTGGCCAGTGACAGTCAAGACGCCGTTCACTTCGGGGCCGAGGTCCGTCAGCAGCTGGCCACTGCTGCCAGGAGTAGGAGTCGTCGAGGGAGTTGGGATGCCTGACAGGATGGAGGGCGCAGAGGGAGTTGAACGAGGCAGCTTAGGCAGTTCAGACACTCCAGTGATGCTGGAGGGGGTGCCTGAGGGGATTCCCGATGGAATGCCCGAGGGAATGTTCGACGGGACAGAAGGCGCAGAGGTAGTCGGCAGAGGCACTCTGGAGATGCTGGGGATGCCCGCCGGAGCTGCAACAGCAGAGGACGCCAGAGCGGCGATAGCAAGAATCGACTTCATTTCGACAAGCCGACAGTAAAAAGAGTGACAGATTACGAACGAGGGTATTATGAAGCTCGTTGGATCAGAAGAAACGAAGCAAGCAAAGAGCGACTGGACTGATGCTGAATTTCTGGAGATGAGAAATACGAAGTACTCTGGTCGCCATTAAATAGATTCACCAGGGAATAGAGATCTTCGCTGTCTGCTCCTGAAGCTTTCGGCGCAGATGATCATATCCCCTGGTCGTTGGCTATTCTCAGGCTTGGGGATGCACTAATCAATAGTCGGTGCCAGACGGGCCATCATATTTAGCTTAGTCGAAGCAATTCCAATCGGACGGGTCTAGTGATTGTCAATGATCGCCCACTTGGCGACGATCACATCATTGTAATTAATGCCAGTAGAGCCTCCAGATGGGCATGACAGAAGTGGTCGACGGTTCGCAATAACAGGCATTGAGTCTTTTCGTCTGTTAGTACAGGGGCAAAAAATACCGATATACAGAAGACTTTGACAGAACTGACTTGGCAGAATGATATCTGGCCATGATCAAATCCTGAGATGGCGTCTTTTCCCCGATCGATGATTTCATTGTACTCCGTAGTTTGATGGAGTGGGCCAAGTGGGCCTGAAGGGGTCATAAAAAGACGAACTACTCCGGATATATTACTACGGAGTCAACAGGTCCAACTAGAGTGATTCTCGACCGAATGGGCAAGGAGTAATAACAATCAACAAAAAAAATACGGAGTACGGAGTAGCAGCTCTAAGAGGGATTGAATCCACGCTCGTGGCTAGGAGAATCTTAAATCTGAACAGAGTATCTTTCTATGCAGTCTATTCCCACCGAAGAGCAAGGGAAAACCAATCCAGAACTCTGGTTATTCGCTTGAAACGCATACTGCGTATTGGATAGAGTACTTCGTTAGCAAACGTGGGATCTCCCAATAGTCGAATCTTAAATCCAATAGGGAGAATTATAGGGCGAATGATGATTTCCGAGATTGGTATCTGGTAGCCGTCTAGTGCCAATGAACGAAGATTGTCTTGTAGCTATGGACTCACTGGATCCCAATGCTCTGCCCTCTTGACCAATTACATGATATCTTTCACGAACAAGATCAAAGATTAGAGCCTTACGATTCAGCAGCCGTGGTAAAGAGGCTCTTAGTGCTCTATCCCGACCATCTATCCAGATTCCTCCGTCTACTCCGGAGTAGGGGATCTGGCTCATTTCGTCCGCAATTATCATCTCCTAGCAGGAACCTTAAACAAATGGAGGAAACGTGGACTGGAGAAAGAATGAGATCGACACAGTTAATATGAAGAGAACGCAGGATCTGCCGCCAGTTCTCCACAGCGCCATCGGGATCCCCTCCTCCGTGCCCGCGGTCTTCCGACATATCAGTGTGCACTTGCCGATTTCCGTGCGCCAAGCGGGAAGCTGTTCGTTGTTGTTCATGAGCTTGCCTGAAAGCAAAGAAAAAATGTCTGTTAAAATCATCCATCCTTTATATACCCAGGCTCTCCTCCCTATGCCCAGTATCTGGGGCCAGCAGTACGAACTCCGTTTGAGCTAGAGGCATTATTGGCATTGTCAGTCTCAAGATGCTGAAACCAGCTGCGCCCTTTGCTGTTGGAGGAATGAGAAGAGAAGAAGAAGGGACAGATTCAACAAACTACACTGACTCATTTGACTCATCTCCAGTTGGATCTCTCTCCCGCACGCAGAAAGAAAGCTCATTGCCAACGCAGTTCGCCTCTGTTCGACACGGTTTGACTGGAACAAACTTGGATGGTGCATGCACCAAAGTCGAGACTCTGTCAGAGAAATTGCCCTGAGGCAACAATACCATGCTAGAGGTTAAAATAGGGACTATTTCCAGAGAGAAGTCCAGCGAGTATTTATGTCCCAATTGGCCGATATTTGTACGAAGAAATGCGCTGCCACTTATCTGCTGATATCTCTCCAGGAACTTAACGATCAAATCCCCTGAATTAGCCGTGGAAGCTGATGGCCAATCGTCTACGATTGCATTGATATGGGTATCAGAACAGCGAGAATATCGGCTGTGCAGTCTGCCAATTAATCCTTTCGAGCCAGAACTATTCACATATCTGAGATGGCATGACTCCAGGACCGACGCTACACGGCACATAGTGTAATCATCTGTCGTCTATACCGATAAACCACTTTTGAGGTGCTGGACATGGTACCAATGACTTCATTGCTACACTGCTTGAAAAACTCCTGAATTTTCTGCAGAAGAAGCTGGCAGTATTGGCAGCTGGAGGAGTTCTTACACGGATTCTTGTCTAGTTTCTTCGACCTCATTCGGAGGAACTAGATGGGATTTAAATAGTTATTTATCTAGAGATACTATTCTGAGCTGAAAGATACAATAAGATGCATATCTAGATATATCTACAAGAGTACGACGTCGCACTTGATGGAAATAATGCTGGCTGAAGTGAAAGAGCTTTTCAAATTGACAACAGAAATGCCAAATCAAGCACGAGATCAGAATAATGCCGATTAAATCGTACGTATGCAATGTGGAGAATCGGGGATAGGAGATAAGGTGGGGTGACAAAGGCCGGATTAGTGAGCTATCGATAAGCAAGCCAATTGACAACCGACACAGTCGCCATTCGCGGCTTCTGCTTCCCCCAGACAGCATTATTGCCTCGCACCAGCCTCGTCTGTACGATGAGCGCCTCCAGCTCCCCGCCCGGCCACCGTTCCGGATCCCACTCCCCCCGACAGGCGGACACCACCTACCACCCTGCCCCCGAGTGGCCGGATGACGAGGAGGACCGGGACATGGACGACGAGCCTGAATCGGACCGCTCGGAGGATCGAGAGTACCACGACGAGGACGAGGACGAGGACGAGGACGACGAAGACGAAGACCACGACGACGACGATCTATTTCGTGAGCCAATGCCTAGTGCCCTGCTTCTTCTGCATCCTGCTCTTCTGACCGGCTTCGCACAGATGATCCCGAATCAGGCCTAGGCGACATCCAGTTCGAGTTCACCATGGAGTCTTCCGATAACGAGCACGCGGGAGAAGGAGGCCAGCAGGCCAGACGAACTCGGGTGACGCGAAGTGAGAACACCAGGTGCCAACGCAGATTAATGGTGATACGACTAATGCGTTTCCAGTCACATCCGCGCAGGTCCTCCAGCTCCTCGGAGCAAACGGCCTTCGACGAATCCTCCAGTCGCAAGGGTTACTGGCCGCGGATGACGACGATGAGGACTACGGCCTGCATTATGGATACCGCGTTCGGAGACGGCGACGAGAGCGGCCGGCCGGGGATATCTTCCCCAAAGTTCCCAGCGACGTTGGTACGGAATTGATGGGGTCTGGCCTGTATGGCAGCAACCCCCACTATGTCGACGAACTGAAGAAGCGCAAGAAGAGACTGGCCACGAAGCTGATGTGGCGTGAATTGGGCATTGGGACGGCGGGCGCTCAGAAACGGGATGTCCGGTCGATATTCCAGGTATGGACGGCATCACGTCTCGTCACTGCACGGCCGATGCTAAACTCTCCACAGGATATGATCCCAGGTTCGAAACCAGACAAGATCATCCACTTCGACTCGAGGTGCTATTCCGGACAGTTTTCCGACGACGGCAACTTCTTTTTCTGCTGTTCGCAGGACTTCAAAGTTCGCATGTACGACACATCGAATCCGTTTGACTGGAAGTACTACAAGACGGTAGATTATCCATTCGGTCAATGGACCATCACGGATGCGACCTTGAGCCCCGACAATAAATACCTGGCCTACAGCTCCATTCGACACCTGGTCTGTCTGGCACCGACGGATCCAAACGATCAATCTGACCCCATTCTCCTTGATTTCTCCAACATGGGGCGCAGGAGAGGTGGAGGTCATTACGGAAATTCGCATTTTGGAGTATGTCCTGTTGCTCCTGACTATGGTTTTATTGCTGACAACTCTCAAGATATGGTCTCTTCGATTCTCGGGAGATGGCCGAGAGATTGTTGCCGGCACGTCAGACCAGTCTGTGGTCGTCTATGACATTGAGACAAGACAGACTATTCTCCGACTTCAAAACCACGACGATGATGTGAACGCAGTCTGTTTCGGTGATGCCTCGTCTCCCCACATCCTCTACTCGGGCTCTGATGACACCACCTTACGAGTCTGGGACCGGCGATCGATGGCCGATGGTCGAGAGGCCGGAGTGTTCATGGGCCACACTGAAGGCCTGACCTATGTTGACAGCAAAGGCGACGGTCGCTACGTGCTGTCCAACGGCAAGGACCAGATGATGAAGCTGTGGGACCTGCGAAAGATGATGACGACGGCAGAATTCGATAAGATCGACCCTCGACGATATACGACCGGTTTCGACTACCGATTCATGCAATATTCAGAAGAGGACTACGAACCGCATCCCCACGACTGCTCGATTGTGACATTCCGGGGGCACCGAGTGCTCAAGACGCTGATTCGGTGCCACTTCTCGCCTCCTGGGAGCACCAACTCGCGGTACGTGTACAGCGGCAGCGAGGATGGGAAGGTCTACATTTACAACCTGGATGCGACGCTCGCGGGGACGATCGACGTTGGACAGGCCACCGTCGATTCGAGGCCACAGGACCAGGATATTTTTGCCACTGCGTATGAAATGAGAAGTGGCGAGATGCGCTGGAGAACCTGTGTCCGCGACGCGAGCTGGCACCCGAATGCACCCGTGTTGGCCGGTAAGTCAGAAGTCTCCCTATTGGTAAGTCATCAACGACAGGATACTGACATTTGACGTAGCAACATCCTGGAACGGCTGGGGCATGTCGACCGGAACGTGTACAATACACACGTGGAACGACTCGGCCGCGGAAGACGAAGGCGAGCCGCCGATGGGCATGAGCTACACGAACAAACTCGAGTACTCGCGCGAGTTCAACGACTTCCGGGAGACGATCCGGCAGTATGATAGAAGCCGAAGGCAAAGAGGATTGAGAGACGAGGAGGCGGCGATGGGGCTGTCATACTGACGGGAGGTCGATGCATGGAATTGGGGAGACTCCTCCTTTTGCTATTCTATTTATAATTACTGCGGGCAATTTTGTATGTACATGTTGTTTTTTTTCCTTTCCCCTCCAAATGATTATGACGGGTTTGCTTTTTTTTATATATTTGCTTTTATGATTCATTCATTTACCCAGATTCTCTTGAAGAGAATTCGATGATACGATATCCTTGACTTGACTTGCTATGATGGATATTCCCTATGACTACCCTATTCTTTTTTTGGCAGTCATAATAAGACAAATACTTGCTTGATATTTATTAAATAAATAATCCTGGACAAGAGTGAAAATGAAGAGAAAAAAAAAGTAGATTGGACTTTAACTGTACATGCAAGCAAAACGATAAAAAAAACCACAAATTATAGTGACGACCAACTCCCCGGTCTCCTCCCAGTTTAGTTTCCCGGAAAACCCCAGTGATGTGCGCTTTGGGATCGATCGTTCATCTACCACCCTCCCGATTAATCAATCAATTGCGAACTGGTCCCTAGTACTCCGTACAGTACAGTACGGACTATGCTGACAAGACAAGACATGCGCAGAAATGGTATCCACCGGATGAATGCGACGTGATCCGTTCCGTGGGTTGTTTGTTGTTTTGTTTGTTGCTGCTCTCCTCCCCTTCTCTGGGTCGGATTGAAAGAAATGCCTCCTTCGTCATGCGCCGCCGACTAGGATGTTGTTGACGGGGATATGTACTGCGCGCGCGGGCTAGTTAGCTATGAGCCGCATAACATGTGTTGAAACGTGGATAATATATTCTTGCGCTCCAGAAGATGGGTATTTTTTTTGTAATCGTCGAGATATATAGGTTCGAGGGTATGGGGTGAACTCACTCAGCTTGATGAAGTAGCCAATGGCGCCCTATTTTTTTTTCTTCAGTCAGTAATCTGTCTGCGCTGGCATTGCTGAGCTGAGCTGAGCTGAGCTTGATGGATCTTACCATGATGAGGAATCCCATGCCGACGGCCTGGCTGATCTTGATGAATTCACGCTTGTCGGCTGGATAAGCACGTCTGTTAGCTGATGTCCATGTAGCAATGACAACTAGGACATCAGTACGTACGCTTGGTGCATCGGTGGACAAACTGCATGCCATCCCGGACAAAGTCCTTGGGGATATCGGCCAGCTCCTGCAAAGTCTCCGACATGATTGATGTGGTGAGAATTAACTAGAAAGAAATTTAAGAGAGGTAGAGAATGAGAGTTAGAGAACAAAAGCAACTTCAAGGGAGAGGTGACAGACAACTGCGGAGTTCATGCAATGGCCAGGAGTAAATCTGGCTTAACGACGAGCTGGCCTTCTGGAGATTGCCCGATCAGGGATGGCGGCGCGGCCCCGGAGAAATGTTGCGACAGCTCCGGGTGGCCGGGCCTGCTCTGCTCCGCAGCTGCTGGAGGTCGCTCTCGCTCGTCACTCCCCAGTCCAACCTTCCTGCTGTCGAACGCCCGTTTCACCGCGCTTGACCTGTCTTCTGTTCTTCTAGCAGGCGTTTACTGAGGCCTGTGTCTCTGGCAGGACGGCCAGTGCATGGTATCTTCTCTCCACTTGAGTTTCTTCTCTTTTCTTTCACTGGATCCTCCTCTTCTTCCCTTTGTTGCCAATCCCTGCGGCGCACTTGCTGCAGCGCGAAAAAGAACCACGCGATTGAGAACTGAACTGGTTGATCTCCTGGTGGAGGGTTTTAGAGCCTGGTTTTCTACTAACATTACTTGTTGCTCGTTTGCGTTCTGTGTCTTCCATCTTGAAGACTCCTGTCAAACCTTGTCTCTAGCCAAGCCCTGCCTGCCTGTGGCAGAAGTGCTCGACGGCGCCGCATTCCTGTGGAATAAGCCCTGTCTACATCTCATCAAGACTTCTCATCCCTGTACTTGCCATAAAGGGTGGTCAGGCACTCAAATCTGTGTGCAAGCAAATCGTGACGGGTGGCACTAACTGTTCTTCCTGAGACCTTTGCCGTGGTCCAGCTTGTACGTATCTTCTTGTCTTCTGTCTCCTTTCTTCTTTTCTTTCTTTCTGTGCTACATGACATGACATGGCATGGAATGGCTTGACAAATGATCACATCACAGCAACTATAACTTGCACTACTTCAGGGCTCACTCATGCATGTCACCCATGTTCCTCTGGTACTAATGACTTTCCCTGATTGACAGACATGTATTTTTGATTCATCGGAAGGAAAAGAAAAAAGCCTGTGCATAACACAAAATCAAGCAATCAATCACTGTGACTTGTCACTTGCGTCCACACATAATCAACCACGATGGCCGAAGCCGACGATAACTTTGATATTGATATCTATGGCGATGGTGGTGGCTACAATGCGAATGAAAATGAGCAAGGAGACTACAACAAGGATGAGCCGGAACTGATACTGGATGCCCCTGATCATAACGCAAATGGAGTCCAAGATAGTGCCTCGGCGGACCCCCACTACAGTAATGAGGATGGGAATACGGCCAACGGCCATGACCAGGCCCCAGATGCAGAAACCGTGAACCAAGAAGAAGCCGCTCCTAGTCAGACACCCCAGCAAGGCCAGAAACGCAAAGACATGGCCGACGACCGTCCCACGGACCCTGACGCCACCACTGCCCTCTTTGTGTCTGACCTGTTTTGGTGGACCACCGATGATGACATCCGTGGCTGGGTCAAACAGGCTGGATGTGAGCAAGAGTTGAAAGATGTAACCTTCAGTGAGCACAAGGTGAACGGGAAGAGCAAGGGGTAGGCGAAGGTTCTTCCAATCAACAATTTCTTGTACTGACCAGGACTCCAGACAAGCCTACGTCGAGTTCACCTCTCTCCAAGCCGCCACGGCGACCAAACATTTTATCGAGTCCTTCTCTGCGTCTGGGCAGACTGGGAGAAAGCACAACGTCACCTATGCCAACCCTCACCAAAACCCCTTCCGCACACTTCCCAAGGATGCACCGCAGCGCAAGGATGAACGCCAGCGGGCTGCTCAAGGATTCAACGCACCTATGAACCAGAACATGAACTTTGGCATGAACAATATGGGAGGCTTCCGTGGTGGCCGCGGGGGATTCAACCGGGGTGGCATGGGCAACAACATGGGTGGATTTAACAACCGCAACTTCTCGGGTCCGATGGGAGGCTTCCAGGGCCCCATGGGCGGAGGCTTCCAAGGAGGACCAATGGGCGGCATGCAGAACTACGGTGGCTTCAACAACCGTGGTGGAAACATGATGGGCGGGATGCGTGGAGGACCTGGGGGGATGCGTGGCCGTGGCGGTGGCATGGGCCCGAACATGATGGGCATGCCGGGGATGAATCCCATGGGCGGAATGGGGATGAACGCGATGGGTGGCGGGATGAACCCGATGATGGGCAACATGGGCATGCAAGGTAAGCCATCGTCTTGAAGAAGAAACCCGCCTTGATTAACGGCAGAGCAGGCCAAGGCGGTTTCCAGAATCCCAATTTCAACACTGGCTTCTTCCCGCAGAACCAGGGCGGTGATGGTTCGTGGAACCCGCACGGTGCGAAACGGACTCGACAGGAGTGAGCGATCCGGGACGTAGCCGGGCGAGAAGCTTGTTATTTTTCTTTTCTTTTCTTCCTTTCCTGTTATTCTTTTTTGTTTGGGGGGTGCTATCAAAAATGTTCTTGCCGGTTTCGTGTTTCCTATTCCAACTTTTTCTTTTACTTGGTTTTTATTTGGGTTTGTTTCCTGGGGTGTATTAGACAAATGAAATGGTCTGTTTTGTTGTGTTTCTTTATTTTTTTCTTCTAATCTTTTTGTCCTGTGCTACATGCTACATGCTACATTCTTCTAATTTCTTTGGGATGGATGGGATGGGGAGAAAAAAAGGTTATGTTATCTTGTAATCGTCACTTATTTCGACGGATTTGATTATTTGAATCTGGAGCTTCGAATCAATCAAATGTTGCCATTGCTGGTGATAGCCTTTTCATCTACCTTCCTCATTTTTTTCTTCTGTCGCCCTCCTTTGTTTTTCCATTTTTTCACCCCCTTTTTAAAATTCTGGCACTCAGTCTTCTGCTCTTGAAGATCCGCCTGATTACGATTCACTGACCTCGTCCTCTTTTCTTAGGTTGATCAACTTCAATACTTTTGTGAATGAACAATCATTGGATGGACCATCGGTGGTGCTTCTTTCGGACTCGTCGTCTTTTGACCATTTATTCTTTTTTTTCTATTGATTCAACAGGTTTGGGCCTTTTTTTTTCTTTTAATTCTTGATGCGATAGTCAGCTATGGATAATGGTATTGATATGGGGATTTGCCTGATATACTATGATTGTGCTGTTCTTTTTCTTAATCTTGATGGCTGCTGCTTTATTGTTATCTTTATAGTTATTCCTGCAATTAAGCACAGGAGAGAATACACTGTTTTTCTAAATTGAGATAGAATCGAAGCTGCAGGAGATGATACTGGTGTGGATAAGAAATGTTGTATATACACATACATGTACTGGTGAGTGGACAGGCCTATACTGTACATATATTTAAGAAGTGCAATGAATTAAGATAATGAATTAAAATCCTTGCGATCATCATCTCTAGTAGTTAGTCCTTTTTTTGCTCCTTTCCTCTAACCATCTCAGGCGTTTTTTTTCCTTCCGGCTTTCGAAGTAATATCTTCTCTTTTTCCGTAGAAGGCTTTACACTGGAGGATGGCAACCCCAATTAGCTCTTCCTTGTCATACTCTGCCTACCTTCAATCCCTAATTTGTTCTAATAGGGCCAAACATATCAAAACTTTGGTATCTAGCAAATCCATGACAAAATAAATATTACCTTATATATCTAACTCAATCCATTAGAACCAGGTAGATTCATTGGGACAGTTATCAAGGAGGTCTTTGGAATGATATCAATTATGAGGTTCCAACTTCTCACTTCCAAGACTTGGCCCTTAACCAAGGAGAATCGGCCCTAGACTTTTGACTAATTTCCTTAATTTCCACGGTAGACCTATCACGGATGCTGAAAATGGCACCGTCAGCTTAGGCCAACAAGCAGTTTGGATGTTATTTGCCAGGCTGGGGTTACATCACACGAGGAATGAGACATTATTATTATTCCAGTATGGTAGTACGAATAAGTCATGATTGATTGAATTATTCTAGATTAGTGTTCACATTAATTCATTTAATTGTTGTCGCGGTGTTTCGGCATCATCCGATACGAGTCATTCTAGCAACAGAATTCCATAGTACGGAGTAATTGCGGCTAAACGAGCCGAGCAGTGTCTCGGTTCCAGATCAATTGTCGTTATTATCGCTATCCACAGCATTGGTCCGCCATGCTGGTGGCTGACTGGTTATGGCTTCCAGCCAGGCGGTGGCTGCGGTTAGCGTTGCCCCTGACAGAACAGAAAACCAGCCTCCGTACGGAGGACAGTGTTCTCTACCACTGTGTTTCTTGCAGTACTCCGTACTCTGCACAGAATCCTACTCCGCATAATAATAGAATAATACGACCCGTCCAGTCGGAGGGGTTGAACCGTCATGCGGGGGCCAGGCTACCCCCATGATACTACTTCGCTATCTTAGGAAGCGCGTATGGCGACGACATTTCCTTTCTCGGCACAGGCCAAGATCCGCTATATACCTACGCTAGTACTAGAGTATACCATGGCTGAGCCTTCAACGCCCAAGGAAGGACTGAAAGCTAAATACATAGACAGGCTTTTCCCCACACTCCGGTCGATTCTCTCCCAGACTCTCGCTCTCCTGATGTGAGGTCTGACCGATATCGCTTGTCCAGTCGCTCTTTTGCTGTTGCTGTCTGTCGCTCGTTATACAAGTCGCTCTTTTGATTAATTCGTTTCTTTCTTCGGAGATATTGCAGTTGTCGACATTGCTAGTGGTAGTGTAGCGATACGTCATCGTCATGCGCCTCATTCCTCTCCTCTTCGCCTCGATGGCATCGGCCATCCAGATCCTAGCTCCCGCGGCCAACTCCACCTACCGTGCTGGAGAGCCTGCAGTCGTGCAGTGGTCGTCTGTAGACACCGACCCGGACACCTTCAGCATCTACCTCGTCAACTTCGTCAACTGGCCGCCGTCCTACGTGCCGCTGGCCCTGGACGTGCCCACGGCGGCCCATTCTTACAGCGTCGACATCCCCTGCAACACCGACCCCAGCTGGGGGTACCAGATCAACGCGATCAACGGCACCAACGTCTACGTCATCTACGCGCAGAGCAGCAAGTTCTCCGTGTCGCCGGCGCGCAGCCCTGCCCAGTGTGTCGCCAGCACGCCGACGCCCTCGACCTGCTCTGCGCCGTCGACCGTCACTGTCACGGTGAGCAGGAACTCTTCCTCTTCATCAAGCCCTGCCATCACTACTACTGCTACCCCCTCTCCTGACCACCACCGCTCTACTCGCTCTACCAAACCCGGAATCGTCCCTAAGACTATTGGCTGGAGTTCAGGCTACTCAAACCCCGTGACGATTGACTATGTTCCGACGCCGCAGCCAGCGAGCCCTACCGGACCGGTGACTTCGCTGGAGGTGTTTCCTCCGCAGCCGACCGAGGTTGGTGTGACGGTGATTACTACGTGGGTGACTGTTCCGTGCTGACTGTCGAAGCGGGTGTATGAAAAGGCAGGTGCTTGTTCGTAGTGTATCTTTCTCTTCAGACAGATATCTTGTACAGTGTGAAATATAATATCTACGGAGTTGTATTGTGTATTGGATATAATCCGATGTTGTCTCAGTTTCTTTCTTCTTGCGACGTGTATGGATCAGTATATACCGTCGTGATAATATTTATTCTGATATCTGTTTCCGTTGTCCTGGCTGGTGGGTATAAAAGATGTGTACAAGGCAGCTAGCTTCGAGATCATATCTATCAATAGTAATCAATAATGCCGATCTCCTAACGAATGTTACTGATAATTCTTCGACTATTGAGTTAATCCATTTTTAGAGGTATGTAGATATCCATCATCTTCAAATTTCCTCAAATGGAAATGGTAATAAAAGTAATAACCACTCTGCATACATATATCAACCCCAGCCCGAGGAACTGAGGAGATCATTACAATTGAAAGTGTTAACTCGATTGCTACAGCTGTTGTATTTATATAACTCCTTCGTATTGGCTTATTAACCCCTCCTAGCAGCCTGCACAACAACACATTTGGCCCCCATTGACGGTTTGTCCCGTGCTTAAAAAAAGCTTGACTGTGCCAGATTGCCAATCGCCCTGCAGGCCAAGAATTTTGTCTCCGTAGTCAGATATTCTCCTCATTATTTTATTTCTTGTCCTTTTTTTCCTTGACTGGATTGCCACGTGGGAAGATAATCAAATTGATTATTGATTTTTTGATTATTGATTATTGGCGATCGATCGATCGGCTAAGATCCGCTTGCTCCAAGTTACACAACTGCGTAACTTTCTTTGCGCAGCCTCGTTGTCTTGCGTGGCCTGTTTTCATATATCTTGCTTACCTCGCTGTCATTATTGTCAACTACTTCATCTCCTGGAGTGCTCTACAGAATAATACCTCGACGATTTATTGATTAATTGAGAGGCAGTTCTGATCAAGCCCGATAGCTACGCGGAATCCGCTATTTATCTTATCATCTGATCAAATCACTCACTCTTCTCACTCTTCACGCAATCGGTATGTTCAGCAAACAATAACACAACAAATGTTCCAGCTAGTCGATATCTATGAGGGTCACTGCATCATGACCACTGGCGACAACCCTGGCGACGACTATCCTCCGCGCCTGTCTGTCGCGGAGAAAGCATCCCTCTGCTGCACTCTGCTCGCCTCCGCTACCAGCACGCTTCTTGTCCATGGCACCAAGGGCATCTTTCGCGGCCGGAAAGGCGCAAAGCACTACAGTGTGCATCTGGCGCATGCCCTGGTCCGGACCTTGAACGATACCCTGACTACGCGGCAGTATCAGTATGTTTGAATTCAAGTTCGCATTCGCATTCGTACTGTACGTGTATTCATTAAGCTGATTTTAGGTATTTGCTCCCGCCAACGTATCAAACGTACGAGGCTTATGCAAAGCGGAAAAAGTTCCAGCCAGAAACGGTCCGTCTGCCCAGGTACGGTGGCATGGGACACTGGCTAGGGAGCAAGACTGCCAAAAACGTGCTTGTATATTACCACGGTACGACTGTCTTTTAAACCCCGGTCAAACCCTTATACTAACAGTTCTCTGCAAAAGGAGGCGGTTTCGCGCTCAGCGCCAACGACCTCTATTTCGATTTCTGCTGGGATCTCATCCAAAGCCTGCATGCTGCCGGCCACGACCTCTCCGTGTTCTTTGTCTCGTACACTCTGACCCCCCATGCCATCTATCCGACCCAGTTGAAGCAGTGCGTCGAGGCCCTGCGCTACATCCTCCGCGAAGCTGGCTTTTCGCCCGAAAACGTCTTCCTGGGCGGTGACTCGGCTGGTGCCAACGTTGCGCTGGCTGTCCTCTTGCACGTCTCCCATCACCCTCATCCTGAGATCATCGCCGACGAGGCCGACGACAGCAAAGACCAAGACGCCCGTCTCGATCTCTCTCTCTCCGCGAGCGGTGACAACGACTCCTACTACCTCGGCGGGATCTTCTGTCTGGGACCCTGGGTCGATTTCAACTTCGACCGCCCGTCCGAGAAGACGAACCGGTTCAAGGACTGCCTGTCGAAAAAGTCTGAGCAGGCCTGGGCGCGCGAGTACGTCAACGGACGGAACCCAGACGGGTGGAACGAGCCAGCCGTCGCGCCGGCAGAGTGGTGGAAGGGCGTGCGAGTGCGCGAGTTCCTGATCCTGGCTGGGTCGGATGAGATTCTGCTTAGTGGGATCGGGGAGTTTGCTGAGAAGGTCCAGGTGGGAGTCAACCGACACATGCCTAAAGGCTTACATTACCTGCAGAGTGTCCAACTGACTGACTGACTGCGTATAGTCCATGTTCCCCCGCCTAACGTTTTTCATCGGCCAGGACGAAGGCCACGTCTCGCCGATCGTTGACCGGGGCCTGTTCGGCAAGAAGCAGAGGGCCCGCATCCAGACGGCTCAGGTGTTGAAGACGTGGTTCGCAGAGCGACTGCTGTCTAGAAGATCGGCTGAAGCTGGATCGTAAGGTGAGGACGGGAGTTGAAGTCAGTGCCAGCATAAAATAAAGGCAGGCCTAGGGCCTTACTCCTGACATTGTCTGTCATACCAACAATAATTGATGAGACCTCCTTACCTACTTTCCTTCCTCTATATCTGCCCAGAATACTCAATTCTTTTTTTTGTGAAGATTCCCATCGTCGTGGTTTCTCTTCTTGTCTGTATATAATATATACCCATTTCTATGTTACCTCCTACGATTAGAGATCACTGTTCAGCAAGCAAGTGACCGATCATACGTGATTTTCATATCATTATATTTATATCCCTGTGTCTGGTGTTGAGTGTCGAGTGTTGTTTTCGTTGGGCGTAGGTACGATTTTCTTTTCTTTTAGTGCCTGTTTCAGCGAGTCGGGGCAGAAAAACAGAGGTAATATCGTTTCATTTCACGATGGATTCGTCATCATCAATATCAGTATCAACATAATATCCAGATCGAACCAAATATCCAATATCAATATCAATAACTCTTGATCCGGAAACCAAGTACATACATGAACCCATACGTACAGACATTATCCGTTCAACCGTTCCGTCGCGCCCATAAATCAAACCCAGGAAGTAGAGGTAGAATAAGAACAAGAAGAAGAACCGGGAGGAGGAGGAGGAGGAGGAGGAGGAGGAGGAAAGGCCAAAATTTCATTTGGAACAAAAGAAAAAAAATGACACAGGGTATGAAAGCATAGTAATTCAGATCGAGAACAGGAACAGATATCTATATCCATACCCATGGACTAACCCTAGTAAGGTCTCGTGGGTAGGGAAGGGCATTGAGAAAGGGATATGAGACAGTAAAAGAAACCATATATAAATATATGAAGAGTTATCAACACCAAGTCATGAGCCATGACTCATGATCGTACGGCAGAGGGCCTCATCTTAGAATATGGACGATAGGAATAGTAGAGTAAATGTCACCCTCACGCCCGGAGAAACGGAAGGGCACCGTCAACCAAGACTTTGTGACGATGACAAGGATATCACAAATAAACTCATGCCTGAGTTGGGAAGACTGAGGCTCACGCCGGGGTCTTTTTTGTGGTTTTCTCTGTTTCATTAGAGCCGTCGATCAGAATCCAATCCAAACGCCATAACCCAGAAAAGGGGGGGGGGGAAAAGGCAGTTCATGTATATCGTGAAATGATGAATATGTTAATGAGAAATGTAAAGAAAAATCTAATCGTGGTCACATAGACGATAGATTGGTTGATTGAGCAGCACGATCAGCCAGTATATTTCAACAACAGCTGAATGCTAAATTTCGTGCTGTTCGACTAATGCGAGGCGACGCTCGCATTAAACGCGTCGAGCAAAACCGGGTACAGCTCGTTGAGACTACCACCATCCGACATCTCTGTCACCAGCACTCTCAGGATGGTAGAATCCCGTGCAGAATCCTACATTGCGATCCATTTCGGCAGCGATTTGATGTCGTGAAACACGTCTCGCATGACGCCGGCCTTCTCGAACAGTGGCCCGAACGGATTCAGGCACCAGCTGTAAAGATCCCTGCCCTCGGAAGCATGCTTCAAATCTGGCTTATCCAGACATTGTACTTCTGCAGCCTTGGGCTTGTGTCCTTTCCTACTTCGCGAAGCTGCAATGGCCGTCTGCAGCGATAAAAGAATGGACAGCCTCCTCCGGCGACACTGCCGAGGTTGGGATATCTTAAATGAACAGTTGCCAAGCACTGTCGGCTTGACTCGAATGGCATCGAGACAGCTACATTGTATACGCGGCATCGCAACCTGTCTGCTAGCGGAAGGATTGCGACAGATCAGGTCAAGTGTCTTTTTGGTCAACCATCAGAGCATCGACGACAGTCTTGGACGGAAACCCTGGATCAGATGTTAGTGTGAGCAAAAACAAAGGAAAGGCCTGAATTTACCTTTTGGCGACTCACGGGAGCAGGGAGAAGATTTCCCGAGAAAACAAAATGACGTCCACTGGATGATACGAAAGACAATTTCCAACTGCAGAACGGAACAGATCAGAGTGGTCTGGTCCAGCGTGATTCCTAATGAAGTTGGAAAAGGCCCTTTCGACATCGTCACAGTTTGATCTAGTTTCTGAGTCTCCGTCGATGGACATTTCGGAAAGTCAATAGACCTGCGTTTCCACTTCGGAGAAATGAACTTTGGCCGTCCACGGGGTCGATCTTCAACGACGTAGACCGTCGGACGTGAAAGGTTACGATCAAAACCAATCTCGTACTGCATATCCCTGCGGCTGGAGACTCCGTTGCATGCCAAGTCTTGATACCGGTCATAGTTTCCGATGAAGTCCAGCAACCGGGATGAGATTGACGAAGGCATGTTGTCCTTGCAACTATGACACCATTCAGCTAGTCTTAGATCGGGTGGGCATTCTGGGCACGACGTAGACACATGGCCACAACGTCTGCACTTCTGTGGCATCCAATCTTGGGAATCTTGGGTTGGGCCTTTGTTGTCAACGAGTCCGTCGGGGATTGGAAACGAACCATCACTCGAGTCGCTCGAGCACCGTGACCTACGTGATGCTGTGCTGGGAGAGATGGGGCTGGTTGAAACCTGGTGACTGGAAGCACTGGAGGTATCTGAAGGAATTCGATTCCGCTCACACGAGTTTTCTGACATAGACGCATTGTAACCAGTGCCGGGCCAGGGTTGTGAATAGCCTCCCCCATTGCCCATGAAATCCATGCCACCACCGCTAGCCCCCGGATTCAAAAATCCTCCACCCGCTGGACCAGGAAAAGGACTTCCATTGCCAAAACCGGAGCCCCCCGTTTGACCACTTCCGTTGCCGTCCTGCCCATCAGGGACGTGGTCAGGCAGCGAGGTCTCTAGGCGGCAGTGACTCTCGATGCACTCGAACCATTCGTCCCATGATTGGAAGGGTGGATTCCTTAAACAGATTTCACATGCCGTGGGCGCGGGCAGAGGAACCTCCAGCTGGGTGATGGAGGCTCGACTCCAAAGAGATCCAAGACCGTGGCGTCGGAGATGATCATGCATCTTGTCCCTCCTGTTTGTCCTCCCGCGGCATCGGGGAAAAGGGCATCGAAACTCAGACTTGGGCCTGTGGAGGTTGGAGACGTGCCGCTTTAGAGAGCCTCGCGACGTGAATTGTAGTCGGCCCGGGCAGAGGGCGCAAGCATAGATGGGCGGTCTGTGGCTCCTTGCGCTGTGGGGAGGGGATGGGACGGACTGACCGTCGTTCGAGGGCGAAAGGATGGGTAATTGAGGAACAAGGAGCGGCTCCCGGGCCATGACGTATTGGAAGAGGTCCATTGCATATGACCTCTGGTCGCCATGGCCTTCGAATTGACGACGCAGACGCGTGATGCACAGTTCAAAAAGGGCCTGTGGGGAATCCAGCAGGGAAGGAAGCAGGCTCAATTCGTCATCGTGATTCAGATTCGATGTAGCGGGAACCTGCGATGTGTTCTCATAATAGGCGAAGGCATCGCCAGACAGTGGTTCATCGTCGACGGTGGGAGATGCGAGATGAGAGGGCGGATTGCCCCAAACAAAGGTCGAGGCATCGGCAGGCGTCACAGTGCTCACAGACCGCGACGAGTCCGGGGGTTCCTGCAGCAGATCGGAGCTGGTCTGGGTGGAGGGGGACAAGAGGGAGGAGGCGGAGGAAGGCGGGGCGTTGTGGCTCTAGACGGACGACAATTAGAATCAGCACAGATGGCCGGAACAGAGGAGATGACGATACCGTGGACGTATGGTTTGTCTCCGGGTTGGAAGCAGGGTAAAACCGGACCTGAGGGATGTTAAGATAGATATTCTGCCTGTAGCGATCCGGGGCCACATGCGAACTGCGATGATTGGCCGGGTCCATGGGGATCCTCGCCCCGCAGAGGGGCGATCAGCAGAAGAATCCTCAAACAAACGGAGTAATAAGGAGGGCAGCAGCGGATGGCAACCAAGAGCCAGCAGAGGAGTGGTTGATCGTGGTTACTCGCGATTCTTATACGACCGCGATGGTGGCGGGAGGGGCAGACGCAGAGAGACCCGACCAGCACCGTCAGGCGCCGTCTCCTACGAGAGGATGCAAATGGCGTTGACGATGCCTGCGCGACACGCCAGTCTCACAGGCAAAAGGAACGGAGGAGGAACGGGAGGAGAGGACAAACGAGAGCAGAGACTGGCCGGGGCAGGTTCAGGTTTAAATGCCCTTCAATTGAAGGACGTCTTGCAACTGCTGGGCTGGCGACCGGGCATGCGCACCCCGGGCAAAGCCCCCGGTAAAGCAGCGAGGCGAAAGGCGCAGCACCACGTGGAGAGAGCAGACATTGGACGCTGCGACAGACCGGTTTGCAGTCGGGACCAAAAAGAGGAAGAAACTGCAAGCAAAGCACCCTGGTGGAAGCTTGTCAAGTGAGGCGACGAAGCACGGTCGAGTACTGCGTACTGGTGGTCCGCCAATGGAGCGTTGGGCATGTGCTCAGCCTCAGTCGAGGCATTGTTTCAAGCTGGTTTATAGACGACCACATCCCCAGCACAAGCTTCATGTCGGCTCGTGTG